CTATTTTTTCTTGTTCGTTCACCCCACCCACCCTTCTCCTTCCTTGAAAAATGCTTGCTTCAAATACAAAGACAGTGTTCTAAACATTGTCTGTTGGAAGCACTCCTACTGCAAGAGGACTGAAACCCATCTCCCAGAAAACCTGTAGATATAAGCTTCCCAAGAACTAGGCTATGGAAACCGGGACTGGAGAACTCACTGTGGGCAGTTCCTGGCAGGCTGCTTGCACACTGTGTGAAACATAGATAGGAGACAAGTGAAGCGGCATCATTTCAGTGCTTTGCTATTGCCAAATGCTGCTTTATGCTTTTTCAATAAAGCTCATTTGGGGACCTTGTTTAGGGATCATCACACATTACACTGAACACAAGCGTCTGAGGGGAAGTGTACACTTGCTCCTTTGTACAGTTTAGCAATTTGTATACACAGGCACACTGATGGTACACTCGATGAACATTACATTATAGCTCAACTAATTGTGTATGCAGGCACACATACCATACCCTCATTGGATGTAACATGCAAACACCCCTATCATGACTGGTGGGGAGCCTGTGGGAGAACCGGAGTTCCCCCTAAATGATATTCTTATGCTAAAAAAAAAAGATTGCTGGGGGAGCACATCAGTCTCAGGAAGATTATGCCAGTGCACATCCTGCTATAGCACAACCACCTGTCTCAGTTGTATCTTAGCACTGCATTCTGTATCTATAGATAATCAACATGAGCTTAAGCAAACAGAACTGATTCTTCAAGATACATAGTCACAAATGCAGCCAAACACAAAGCCACCCCTGGCCAGTGCATGGCACTGAAGTAAGACCCACTCCATTTCCTGATTAGTTACACACAGTTGCTAGCAACACCCTTTTTTCTCTCTCTTCTTGTGGACAGAAAAGGAGACTCCCTCATTTCACAATTTCAGTTTTAAACCATCTGAGAAGGTGGTAACCATCTTGAAAGGAGCTGAGGGGTTGCATTTTAAAATAATGTCTTTGCAGTCGGTAGAGGGTCATACATTAATGTGGCATTTTCTACCCAGAACCATTGCTACAGAAATAATGAAAACCATTTGGTTCCCCAGAGCCTTTGGCTCACAAAATAGAATGATGGCCTCCACTTTGAATGTTGGTGGGGAAAGCATGACTGGCTTGTCAGATCTCTGTGGGAAACCCTATTTGGAAGAACACAGATTTCATGTTGCTGAATCAGTAGTTGGCACTTTTCTTGAAATCAGGTCACCCTTGCATCATGAAAGAGATAGCGCATCCTTGCAGAAACTATTCTGTGTATCTGTATAAGATTTTCAGGCCCTATTAATCTGGCATATATTAGAGCAAACATTTGTGCCTGGAAAAATAGGCTAACTCGTGCCTGTGTTCAGACACATGCATATAATGTTTTATAATATGAATTCACTGAAGAACATTTTATGTTCCTTTATAGGGAACTAGGTGTTTTTTTAAAGGAAAATAGATACACACTGCTCAAACTTCCTGCAACAAATCCCATTTTATTTATTTATTTATTTTTATAAATGATTTTTATTAAGGTTTCAGAAAAAAAGTTAGACAGAAAGACATAAAAGAAGAAATACACAAATACACTATACATAATCCAAAAAAGGAAAATAAACACACACAAAAAAAAACAAAAAGCAAATAAAACATATTAAACAGAACAATTAAAAACAATATCACTTTTTCATTTCCGTTTTTAAATTTACTTATTTTCTGGACTTCCTCATACCTCCCTCTTTTGTATTCCAGTCCAAATTGTTTGGTTTCTCTTCAGATCGTATAAATCTTTCGCCTTTTACAAATCCCCATTTTATCCTGACAATAACCCTCTGTGGAAGGTTAGACTGAGAGACAATGGCGCCCAGGGCACAGGCACTGCAATGGGCTCTTACAGGAAATGGAAAGTCAATGTATGCTTCTTGTCTGGTTTCTTCCCCTCTAGTTGTTACTCAGACTTTGGAGTTCCAGTAACTTGACCAAACATTTTGGAAGTGGGGAGGGATAGCAATACAGTGGTACCTCGGGTTACATATGCTTCAGGTTACATACACTTCAGGTTACACACTCCGCTAACCCAGAAATAGTGCTTCAGGTTAAGAACTTTGCTTCAGGATGAGAACAGAAATCATGCTCCGGCGGCGCGGCAGCAGCAGGAGGCCCCATTAGCTAAAGTGGTGCTTCAGGTTAAGAACAGTTTCAGGTTAAGTACGGACCTCTGGAATGAATTAAGTACTTAACCTGAGGTACCACTGTATAGAAGGCATGCACAGTCCTGCCGTTTCCCAGAATTCCCTGAAGGTCTGCCTGCATGTAACAACACAGTAAAGCAGGCAAAGGTTAGCTCTTTTCCCTTGGATGAACAAGCAGCTTGGAATAAGGACACTTCACATGTTTCCTCCATGCAAATTATCTCCTTTGTTTTCCTTCATGGAGATGATCTGTGTGTAGGAAATAGTGATTTACAGTACTGTACAAGCTGCAGCATATTTTTTAATGCTTCAGGTAGATGAATTAGCAGTCCAAGCTTACACATCACAGAGAAAAAGAGAGAAAGAGGTGGAGCACTAATCAAGGGGAGGGGATGGCAACAGATCATTCCATGTGAAATACATATACCCCTTGTGTGATCGCATCCTGGTCACTGTCTCTTCGAGCTCTTGCCGTTGGGACGGAGATACAGGACGATGAAGACAAGAACGAGCCGTCTTAAGAACAGCTTCTTCTCCAGAGCGATCTCGGCCCTGAATGGGAAGCCTGGACTTTGAAAGTCATCTAATCTCCCTTGCTGTGTTATACTGTATTGATTAATTAGTGTTTTTATGGAGCAGTCAAGTAATTTCGTTGTCCCCAAAGGGGGCAATGACAATAAAGATATTATTATTATTATTATTATTATTATTATTATTATTATTATTTTCTTTAGCAGACTAAGCAAAGTGACTGGGCACATTTAAGTTATATCTTTTGCTTCTGCCAAAGTGGAAACTGGAGCAATAAACAAAGTGATACCAGATTGCAGAGACCCAGGGAGCAATAATGCAGTCCTGTGTTTTGCTTGAAAAGGAAGCTGTCACTCAGTAGTAGAGTCACACATGCAATAAGTCCCAGGTTTGATCTCTGGCATCTCCAGGTAGGGATTGGAAACACTCCTGTGTGATACCCTACAGAGCAGCTGCTAGTCAATATAGACAATATTGAGCTAGGTTGACTCATCAGCAGAAAGTTTCCTGTGTTCTTCTGTAGGATCACTGGAGGAGAGACAGGAGGGACAGAATAACAATGCAGAATAGGTAACAGCTTTAACTGTTCTCCATGGAGCTTGGTGAGTAAATGGGAAGTGGTGCTTCTCTTTTTCTTCTTGCTTCAGATCAATTCACCAACTCCTGTTGAGAGTACAATCTCCCATAGTCAACCCAGTGCCTACAGCTGGTGACGGATCGGCTGCTATCAACACCATTGTTGTTTTGACCTGCTGCAGCATTACATCAAGGCAAAGGATGGATCCAATCCAGATTTCATGAATAGAGTCTGGTGTAGGGTGACCACTGCCTTGCCCACCCCCAACCACACTCCAATCGTCACCCTCTAAGTCCTCTAACTTATGCCAGAGTTGTCTTGTAGCTGCCTACTATCCTGGCACTACAGCCATACAATGTTAAAGTAACTTTGTGTTCCATTGGCACAGATCCCATCCCACCCATCAGATGTTCCTGAAAGTTGGATGGGATCATGCTGTGGGTGTACGGTGGTTTCACCAACAGCAACAAACATTGCTGAGAAGAGACTGAGAGAAGCATCTAGGCAAAGGTGTCAAGGGTTTGGGCCTTTTTCAAGTATATTTGGAAACGTTGCAAGCAAGGAACATTGTGCTTGTCTTGCCTTTCTATTTTTGGCGAGAGTTGTTCAGTCAAGGCCTCCTACACTTCAGCCTGTTCTATTCCTGTTTAGTTCTGAGATATTTTAAAATTATATAAAGCCACAGGGAGGTGTTAGATAATGAATTTAGGAGCAGAATGCCACATCTGCAGAACACCAGGTCAGAGTTTACTACATAGTCTCATGAGCACCACGAAGGAAGGAGCCACTTGCATTGCTGCCACTAAAATGGAATCCTAAGTGAGGCAGGGAAATGTAATTTTACAAAGTAAAAATCCATCTGTTGGACCTACAGTGTAATCCTGAGCATCTTTACTCAGAAGCAAGTCCCACTAAGTTCAATGGGAATTGTAACCCCCTATGTACAATGACTTAGGCAAGCTTTCTCTTTCCAACAGCAGCTAGCAACCCACCTATTTTGCACACACCCGCACACAAATACAGCCCAAAAATTCAGATATGGGTCTGTGCTTCTTGAGGAGGTTCAGAAAGGTTTTGAAAGGCTTCAAGATACTACGCAAAGTGACAGTAATATGTATCAGTAAGGATGGAGGAATCAGTCAATTTCAGTTTCTCATTCTCACGTTCCATTCACCATAATTCCAAATCAGTTTACAATTAAAAAAAGCTCTCACAAGACTTTGGCATTTTAGTTGACATTTCTCTTAACATTTCTGCGTGCAGTTTTGTGCAATACAGTGTACACGTATTTTTCAAGCACTGTCCCACTAATACAATGCATTTGTGTGTGTGGTTTTCATTAATATATGCATTTTTATGCACTCTTTTCTCAACTATGTGCACTTTTGGTCACATTTTTTGGTTAGAAGAGTGCAGAATTGGAAGCATTTATATGTTTAGGATTGGATACTGTTTCAGGAAGAGTGAATTTGATAGATTCACTTTAAAAAATAAACCCATGGTTTCTGCCTCTTCCTTGTGTGTCATATATGCCCTCAGCTTGTCTTGAATAGGTTTATCAGAGAAGGGGACAGTGGTGCTGGGAACATAGGTACAAGTCAGACCCTTGGTCCATTGAGTTCAGTACTGCCTACTGATAGTGGCTCTCCAGGGTGTCAGACAGGAGCTTCTCCCAGACCAATCTGGAGACATGAGAGATTGAGCCTGGGGACTTCTGCATGTGAAGAAGATGTTCTACCACTGAGCTATGTCCTCCCCGCTACAATCTGGTGTGTATTTCCATTTCTAATCTGAACCTGAGACCAGCTCCCAGAGCCACTACAAGAGTTGTCCCCTCATACTTTTGCTGAGTGTCTACTACTCAGTCAATGCTTATGCAGTGACACACATGAGCAGTCAGTGGGTTGGGTGGTGGGGTGATGGAGGAAAGCAAGATGAAGCACATTCAAATAAAAAGCTGTGGAATAACCATAAGGAAAAATAGGAAAATGTTTCCAGGCCTATCACTCTTTTCCAGCAGTCTTACTTCTAACTTTGTATTAATTGCCTTCCTTTGAAATGTAACTGCTTTGTAAGTCTAATTAAGAGTGGGCCTACCCATGCTCTGCTCTGTGCAAACATGTGGGTGCTGCCATAGTAACCGTAAAGGAACACTGAGAAGAAGCTCTCTCTGATTAATGTAATTACACAGCGTGTGCGTATATAATGCCTTTAAACACAACTTACTTCTGCATGAAAAAGAAAGATGAAATGTCAGTATTCTGTGTTGCATGTTTCTTAACTTTCTGAAAAATACGATTGGAATGTATTGATGTGCATTATCAGCAGCTGCAGCTTGTATTATGCAAAACATTTTTGCACAGTTAAGCGAAGCTTGCGCAGATGGAATCAGGAGCAGGAATGGAGTGGGGGGGAGATGCAGGCTTTGAATGAGATAGTGGCCCTGATCTAGGACATTCAGTGGGTGCATATTTGGGGGGGGGGGGCTTCAGAGAACATACAGAAAGACTTCTACAAAGCTTTTGGGTAGAGTGACACTGATTGACTATGAATCCCTTCTATGGCTTTGGTGTCTCAACAGCTAAATATGGGTGTGCATGAATTATTTTATTCACAGGAAATCAAGGAAGCGGAATTGTTTATTCCAATGTTATCGCCATGTAATTAAATACTTGCAGCATGTACTACTTGTCATCTGATGTCCAGAAGCCTCTCCAATTGCCACTCCTTGTCCCTAGCTCCTCTTCCACTTATCTGGACTTTGCTGCCACCTCCACCCTGTCTCCTTCACTATGTTAGTTAACTGAGGTATCTCAATGTGGTATTTTGGAGCTGGAAAAGATCCAGTCAAACTGCCCAGGCTGGCTCACTGCAGGAATGCTGACGGGGCCCAGCAAGTTCCAGTATCACACTATCAGCCTTCTAAAATGGCAAAAGGCATGTGCTGCAGTCCGTGAAGGCCCATTTCTCAGGACAAATTTGCAGAAGTGCTATGGTCAGTACTGGTGCAACCTGACTGTTTCTCTGTATATCACAGCTTTGATGCTTGACGCACATCTGTACCTTAAAAGAATCTTGGTTTTTACTTTCATTGTTCACTGACAACATCAGCTGCTATTGGAAGATGGGATGTGGTCTGGTCACCAATTCAAACTACTATAACCCTCTCTGAATGGTCCAGGCAGAAGGATGTAGAGTATTTCATTCAAGGAACTGTCAATCAGATCAGTAAACAACTATGTCATGGTATGAAAAAACGTGTGACATTAATATAGGACCAATGACATGCTCAACATTATGGGAGTGGTGATTCTAGGACCAATGTGAAATTGTCAAGTTCCTTTGTTACTGTTTCACTATCGGATTTTGGATGTTGTTAAGGTAATCTTGTTGTTTTATTATATTACTGACATTGTTTTTGCACTGTTTGGTTCTGAAATGCATTCCTGTTTTCTTTGTTGTAAGCTACTTTGAGTGTGTGGTGTGTGTGTGTGTAAAGCAGCAAAGAAATAAAATTATGAATGAATGAATGAGAGTCAGTGGGGTGTAATGATTAAAGAGATGACCTAAGAGGTCAGGATTCAAATCTGCATTCAGTGTTCTTGGGCTAGTCACAATCTCTCAGCCTAACCTACCTCACAGTGTTGTTATGGTGATTGTTATCAGGATTCTCTCACAGCTATGGTAGCTATCTTGAAGTTTATGAATTCTTCTTGTTGTCACTCTGTTTCTGCTCTGGGAATCATGATTTGATGAAACCATGTCAGCACAGACATCAACAGCAAAGTATTTTGGGCAGTGTAATTTTTTTAACACTCCACCATTTAACAGCTTAGCACCCAAACGTTGGATCACCGTGATGTCATTATATAGGATGCATCCAATGGCTTGAATAGATTGTTACTCATAAAACAGAGGATAGAATTCCATCTGGCTGAATGAGCTTCTTGAAGTGAGAGGTCAGAGACAGGCTAATCTCCTGAATTTACTGCTAGCTTGGTTGAATTATTCATTGGAAGTAAATTATCTGGGAAAGAAAGCTCTATTCTCCCTGCTCATGAGCAGATCCGGACTTCCCTGGATTTATTTTTATACCCGATTGTTCTGTTCATCTGAATGAGCTTTGGAGCATTCTCAAAGGCTTGCCTCAGCTATTTGTTAAACATTGTATTGTTTAAGCACACATTTAGGGTTTTGTGTTGCGCTGCAAGTGACAGGCTATGCCAGGAAATGTTTGCAATTATTAATTAAGGTGTGACACAAAATGGCCAAAATGGCCCATTTGGAGCTGTGAAATTTTCATAGAGTGCTTACTCTTATCAGCTTATAACATCCTTTAAGCCTCACAGTAATGGGAGTAGAGTAATCATCTCCCTAGTCTTTCTCAGTGGGCAGCCATGTCTAAAAGCCTGGTTGAGACACTGAATGTAAAAGAAAGAAAGTGTGAGTAGTTCAATTTTGCACAATTAAGGTTTGGCATCGTGATCCTAGGTCAGTATGAGCTCAGCAAGCTTCAAAAAGCAAACCTGCTGATCTTTTCCGTCAGAGCATAGGAAATACTGAATAATAATTATTATCTAAGTGAGACTTCACTACATCGTGACTCCTGAAAGATAATGATCATGTGCATTGTGCTATCAAATGCTGTTGTCATTTGCCATCAGTGTGCACACAGCGATAAGGAATCTGTGGCCCTCCAGATGGTTGCTAGACTAAAAATCCCATCTCTCCTGATCATTGACCATGCTAGCTGGGGCTGATGGGAGCTGTAGTCCGTTCAATAACATCTGGAGTGCCACAGGTTTCCCAACTCTTGATTTACAGGGTACAATAGGACTACATTTAAGGAGCATACAACCTAAAATTCAACATGGGAAATAACAGAGAAAGAGGAGGGAAGTGGAGGTAGGCCGAGTTACAAACTGAGTTACAGCAGGGCAAGGGAACTAGGGGGTTGTACCAAAGGCTTTGCGGGTGGGTATTTATTTATTTCTTAGATTTGTATCCCACCCTTCCTTCCAAAAGAGCACAGGTCAGCAAGCATTGAGGGAGGCTCTGAATGAAGGACAATATGGAATCTTGTATGTGTTCTGGGAGGCAATTACAAGCATATGGGCAGCAAGGGAGAAAGGGCAGAGTCTTTTAAGGAAGCAGGATACTTTTGGATTGTGGGTAATATTAATAATTAATAGTAATAATAACTGGATGCCCAAATCTACATTATTCCAATGTGTAAAAGACTGGAGAGTATACAGAACTTTGGCCAATCAAGCAAGCATTAGAATCTCCAGATCATGCAGCTAGCTAATACCATGGTATAGAGGCTGGAACTGGTCATTAGTGCTGATTTTTACAAAACTACTCTTTGGAAATTTGGTGCTCTATTTCATTATTCTCATGAAGCGCTATAGAGGAACACTGAAGCAATACATTGAACAAACAGCACAGGTTAATGTTAGCCGGTTAGTTCTCTTCAGTGGTCACAATCATTTGTTTGCGTCATGAGTCATTTAAGTAGTTCAATAGTTTTTAATTCCCTGGCTCAAGTAAATACGAATAGGCTACATTTTTCATCCAATCACTATTTGGCTCTTTATTTCCAATCCATTAATTTGCTCTAGGAGAAGTAGTTGTTATGTTTAAGCTCAAAACAAGGGAATTCCACAGGAAACTGGAAACCAGCCATGATGTGGGTAGGTTTTCTGTGAGAAATCACCACAATGTGCAATACAGAAATAATCCAGAACACGTGCCTGCAAAACTCTATTGACTGTGTACACACCATACATTTCAGTTTTCAAAGTACATTTAAAGCAGATTAACTTCCCCCAAAGAATCCTGAGAACTGTAGGTTACCTGTCACAGAGTTACAATTCCCAGCGCTCTTAACAAACTACATTTTCCAGGAATCTTTGGTGTTTTAAATGTTTGGTGTGTATAAAGCCTATTGGTTGTGCTTTACAATAACTTGGCAGTAAATTGCTTTTTTAAAAGTTATGCAAAATTTAGATCAGAAGTATATTGATCAAGAGTATTCTTGGTTCTGGAAGAAAAAAGATTATGGCATTAAGAATTTATGCACACGTATTTCTGATCCTGTTATTGTTGCTTCCATTTTAAAAAAGAATAGCTGTGACTAACTTTTTCGGAGAAATGAATGAAAAAGATCCAGTGAGAAATGCATTATCTCTGTGTGCATATGTATATGTCTAGATTACACCAGCACTAAAATTTGTCAATAGACAGTTTGATTGTAGAGAATATGGTTAATACTGATAGAAGCAAGTAAAAAATAAAATAGGTATAAAAGGAGAATTCCTAGATACCAATATCCAAGTTTGGGGCAAGTAGTCCTTGGTAAAAGAATCCCACCAGAGATTTAATATCACAAATTATGAAGCAAAGTAAAGCATGGAAATATAGGCTGTTAGACCTTTAAAACATGTTATTCTAAGTTCCTTCCAAAGTTCCCTAGTTCCTCTAGCATAGAAAAATACCACGTTTAGTAAGTTTAAAATGGTTACAATCTCTTCAAAGGTCAGATTCATGTGCTTTCAGGGGGAAAATGCACAGAAAGTAAAATTTGGCATAGTTACAGTGATGAAAGTTATTACATTATTGGTATAGGAACTCAAGAATAGCGTGTGAGAGCCATGTGGAGCAATATGTTTGGAGCAATATGCTGAGCTTCTCGGGTAGACTTAAGGGGAACAACAGGCTTGATTACTTTCCTCCCAAGGTGACAAGGAATGACCTAGCTAAGCCTGGCAGGACAGCTCACTCTGTGACATTATCCCCTTCATGCATTTATTAGAGTTAAGCATGTTGGGTATATGAGGCTGCTTATCCCACAAATACTTAACATGAGTTGCTGCCACACTATTTTTCAACTCATGTCCAGGCACTCTACCAATAGGCAATTTACTATTACTTGAAAACCAATTTACTATTACTTGAAAACCATTAGTAACTGAAAAGTAACTCATGGGTCATTTTGTGGTCCACTGCAGACATGTCCCTGACACACACTCTTTTGGGACCAGGTCACAGGAGTTTTCCACAGCAATGGGAAGTGGGAGAGACAATAAATCATAGATCCCTTGGGACCTGCTTGCAGGGGCTATAGCACTGAAGCCTTACATGTTTAAATATGCAACAGAGATAGAGAACCAAAACATAGATGACATATCTATGGTCTCAAAGTACTGCTTCAAAAGGTAATTTATCCTAAATCTCTGAAGGTACAGACCTTGGATGGATCATGTTTTCCTGAGCAAAATGCCTGCTCCTGCACATGCACTGCATGAACTTCTAATCCTGTAAACTGGTATTTTGAGGGTCTGAAAAGTTTGAAGACGAGTGTTTTCTCTTTATGGATTCAAGAAGTAATTTGGGGGGTATATTTGCACTGAAACAGGAACATAGTGCCTTATTATGCCATCTGCAAGGTTTGCCAATGTCTAATCACCAACATTCTCCGATTTACAAGATAGGCACAGCCTTAACTAATTCACACAAAAGAGTTTTCATTTTTTTTTTCAAGCATAATGAATTTTGAAAGCACAACTGCCTCTTTTTTGGGGACAACTCAACAGAGAAGATCTGTGTTCAATACATCATGACGCCAAGTCACAGATCTTTGTAAATAAATATGATGACAATATTAGATGTGCCTAGCATACCAATCTGTTGAAAAGTTACTCTGCAGAGGAAAGTGCCTTCTTGTTATTCAAGTTCCGTACTAGTAAAAATAATGTGTGGCAGCTAAGCATTAAATCTAGCTTTAAAAGTTCCACGGTAAAAGGCTGCTTGTTACTAATGGAGGTTGTTAGCTTAGAGAACCAATTGCCATATGGAGAAAAACAGCATAACTAGTATGTTTCAGAGTGTGCATCTTGTACTTTCACTCCATGGGCACAATCTGTCTTACGTGGCTCCCATTCATTTCAATGGAGCCTGCACATGAGGACTTCCCAGATAATGTATATTCTTTGTCTTTTAAAAAATGCTCCTCTTTGAATTTGTAGAAGAATGAAGATACAACCCCCGCCCCACAACAGCAGTGCACCAGTCTGGCAGGCAGCAGCTTTCCATGGTCTTAAAGAGTGATGGCTCCTACCTAATCCTTAACTAGAGATGCCAGAGATTGAATTTGGTACGATTTGTATGGAAAACATGTGCTCTTCTGCTGAGCTACGGCAAGGTGAAATGCAGCAACTGCAGTCCTGAGATTCCACATGCAGCATCCACAATACTATGAAAGCCTATGAAATGAATTACTATCAGGCATGGATGTTCTTTTGCTATGCCATTCCCGTGACGTTGCTATTTGCAGATGGGCATTGCTGGTGGGTGCGTTAATGAAATGCTTGTGAATAAAGTTCTAAATGTAAGTGTAGGACCTCTTGTCAAGTTGGAGATACAATGCACTGGAGTTTTCAGAGACTGAATTCTTGCTTTAAAGGTCATGTTCTATTTTCAGTAAAGTGTTATATGGATTTTTAACAAGTATTGTACTATTCTGCTTTTTCTGACACTTAGCATTTCAACCGCAAATTGTATGTAGGACTATGATCACTTTGGTTTGTATATGTTGCAAAACTACAGGTATTTGTATGTTGCTCATAATATGTCTTGAGTTCCACATATTTTTCATATATGACGGAGGCCAGAAACTAAGCTTGCCAAATTAGGTATATGCATTTGATGTAGTATTCTCTAACCACAAAACCTTATGCTAATACACATTTGTTAGGGTGTTATAATATTCCTTATTGTTTTTCCTCAGAATAAGAATATGACATCAACAGATAACGGACTTACTCTGTGTCTTTCTAGTGAGCAACATATTATTAAATAAATAATAAAACCTAGATTAAAATTCAGTGAAGGAGATTGTATCAAATATATTTTCACATGGTCCAAAGCAGCCATGGAAAAACTCAAGTTATTGGTTTCTTTGAGTTTTTCATCAAAAAATGGAGACCATATGTGAATGTGCAGCAACAAATCTACCCCAAACATTTGTCTTTTATTTGGCAAATATACATTTTACAGAATATACCTGTTCCTGAGGCTTGGGTGGCCTGAGGTAGGTCAGAGCTCTAAATATCTTTAGATTTCCCCAGTGTGGTTTACAATTTGCTCTTGGGTTTACAATCAACACTCACTGGTCCTGCCTCTCTGATATGTTTATAAGCAAAATTTAAGAAGTCAATTTACTAATGTATGCGTGTGTCAGTTGTAGCAAATACAGTGGTACCTCAGGTTACATATGCTTCAGGTTACAGACTCCGCTAACCCAGAAATAGTGCTTCAGGTTAAGAACTTTGCTTTAGGATGAGAACAGAAATCATGCTTCGGCAGCGCGGCGGCAGCAGGAGGCCCCATTAGCTAAAGTGGTTCTTCAGGTTAAGAACAGTTTCAGGTTAAGTACGGACCTCCGGAACAAATTAAGTACTTAACCTGAGGTACCACTGTACAATATTTTCTTCCATGACAGTCTTCATATGAAAAGAAACCTTGCTTTACTTCTTTGGATGTTTCATGAATGTAATAGTTTTCATCTTCCCCACAGGGCTGTGACTAAGACTGGTTTATATACTGAAGAGTACTGCTAAACCGTTTTTCAGCTCTCCGTGACATTTCCAGCCAGAAAGAATTTACTGGCACATGTTTGAGGTGTCCTGCATTCTGCTTCCCATACTGAATACTAAGCTAATAACTCATAATTCAGGCTTCTTATCATCCCAGGCAATTAAACACAACAGCAGATGAATCAAATCAACCTTATTCATATTCTTTTTCACTTCCATAGCCTAAATTTAAACTTTATGAACCCAGACATCACATTTCCAGATACAAACATAAATACCTTGGATGCAAAAATAGGTACTTTGCCATTATTGTGCTCTCTGTTCACTTTCACATTATCATGCTCCTTTTCTATAGGTTCCCATATTTTTTCTGTATACATATTTTAAGGATTTTTATAAATTTAATACTGGATTGCTTTCATATGTCCCACATGTGGCCCTCTGGATGTTATTGGACTCCCAACTCCCATCAGCCCCATCCAGTGTTAGACAATGGTCAAGGGTAATGGAGGGGCCACAGGTCCTGCCTCCCACTGAGTAATAAAACTTACAATTTTTAAGCCTTTGAACCAGCAGCATTACCAGGTTGTTTCTTTCTGTGCATCACTGCAAAATATTTACCAAACTGCAACACTCTGTTTTTAATGTTTGTATTTCCTGCTGCTGGGTTTTAACATTTCTGACATTCTAAGGAGGATATTTTATGTGGTCTTTGCATTTGTTTTATTCTTGTTTCTTATGGTTGCTTTCTGTATTTATGGGCGTTAGCTCCCCTGAACCATAAATAAAGGTAATATATAAATTTGTCAAACAAACCAACCAACAAATAGTGCTGTTCAGACACATTGGATTCCTACATTCTCTGGTTTTCTGCCATTCTTCTCCATATTAATAGCACATTTGTAAAGAATAGAAGCCCTCTAGATGTTGCAGGACCACAATTCCCATTGGCTACAGCCAATTAGTGTGACTAATGGTCAGAGATGATGGGGGCTGTAAACCATTAAGTACATCTTGAGGCTCCCAGCCCTGGTTTAGGTACTAACTAGGCACAACCAGAAGTAGTTGTATCCAACTTCCTGCACATTCAAGCCCTGTTTGGAGGATTTAAACTAGTTTATATGCACTGAAATCCTTGGGAAATAAAGAAACAGCATGGATTTGGAATAGTCTACAATGCGTAGCTTTTGGAGAAAAACAGATGCTGATTTCCAATCTGTTTTGTGACTTTGATTGTTTCTAATATACATCTGCAATTCAGCTTGGTAAGACACCACTTACCAGCTAATGACCTATCAATCTGATGTGTATGGTTAGGAGTGGATATGTTTAGGGAAGACCAACTGCTCTGGATTGTTGTTGCTTTTAAATCCCACTACTATTATCTAACCCATTCACCCAGTTTCTAAAGAAGATCAAGTTGAAATACGTTTGAATGGTGCGGGACGGAGAGGACCCATACAATACATAAATCTTTCAAACACTATACCGAAGGAGCCACAAATTTCTATCATCAATCCTTGTGTCTGAGTCTTTATATTCTTCTGTCCTGTTCTGTTCCTCACTATACGTATTAACTTTGAAGATTGTTCAAGAGCTGTGACATGCAGCTTCCATACATACTGTTACATTTCAGTCCAGCCAGTGACTTTTGAGACATATTGAATCACTTCTACAGCAACTCTGTGCTCTGATCAAAGCTGTTTAATTCCTAGACCACAAATGAAATTCTCCTGAGTGATGTCTTGACCTGAAATGTAGATGTCCCATCTTCTGCTGGAGCAACATTAAAACAAGGCTACTAAACTTTATGCCCATTTGTCTTGAGAAATTCACAGTTCCTACTACTACAGAATTTCCTACTGCTACTCCAACATTTCACAAATAATGAATCCAGTTTCCTCTCATAACTTCTCTCCTACATCACTCTACACGAGTCTTGCTGCAGATATACAAAAAAGAACTAGGCTAGAGGGCTTTGGAGTGGCCCCAAAGAGACTGAGCCAAGAACCCAAGGAAAACAGACACTTTTAAGGTATCCAGAGGGGTAGATCTTCAAAATAGTTTTCACAATCTGCTACAGAGCATATAGTGTCAAAAGAGAATCATCCTCATATCCCATCCGTATCACATTTCCAATGATCAAAATGCTTTATGAACATTATCTGAGGACTTTTAGAGAAGAGAATATCTTCTTCAGTAGGAAAAGACAAAACAGATGGAAATGACAATTTGCTGCTGTTGTTTTCTTTTTCATGGAAGATAGCTGACACACTAAATAGAATGGTTAAGCTTCTGCCTACTACAGCAGCAAACTTCATTCGAAGCTGTTTCAATGATGGGATGAGTCATATGCTACTGAAAGTGTGCTGACTGTTCTAATATTGGTACTATATGACATGCACCCACTCAACTTCATCACCGTGCTCCAAACAAAGTTAATGAACACCAAGAAGCCTTAGGAACATTACCTCTTTGGGCAAGGTCTTTTCCCATCCAAAACTTCAAAGACCTCACACTTGAGACACATTAATTTGAGACTGTAATAAATAAATCAAAAAGTTATTTCATTTCTCCAGTTTCCTTTCCAGAGTGAGTACAGATTTATATTCTGCCTTTCCTGACTACAGTAGGATAGTGTCCCATATGCATAATATAGTGTGATGTGGGACGCAGGTGGTGCTCTGGTCTAAACCACCGAGCCTCCTGGGCTTGCCAATCGGAAGGTCGGCGGTTCGAATCTGCATGACGGAGTGAGCTCCAGTTGCTCTGTGCCAGCTTCTGTCAACCTAGTAGTTCGAAAGCACACCAATGCAATTAGATAAATAGGTACTGCTGTGGCGGGAAGGTAAATTGCATTTCCGTGTGCCAGAAGCAGTTTAGTCAAACTGGCCACATGACCTGGAAAGCTGTCTGCGGACAAATGCCAGTTCCCTCGGCCTGAAGCGAGATGAGCACCACACCCCATAGTTGCCTTTGACAGGACTTAACCATCCAGGCGTCCTTGACCTTTTACCTATAGTGTAATGTATAGTGTGAAAAGTGCCCCCTTTTATGCATAGTTTTTCCCATTATCCAAAGCACCCTTTCCCCTACGTATCATCTAAGTTGCCATTTGAACAAATTCCCATGTATGTATGGAATGACACCCCGCCCCCCGGTGTGTTATGTTCCTGTTGGAACTGCAACAGAAGAGACCATTCTGTGTGCAATTTAAGGGTTTGTTCTGTTAGTGTTAGTCAACTAACCACAAGGGCAGAGGTGTTGTTTAGCAACCAAGTAGAGTGGCAAGATCTTTGCTGAGGTAGCATGTGCCCTGGTTGGCTGTGTGGATTTGAGGGAGGCTTTCCTCTGTTTATTTACTTGAATGTCTCACTGCTATGTACAGGGCCTGAAGAAAGACAAAACCTCTTTGTTCCTTTCTTCAGGCCTTGCATTTCTGTTCTCTGTCCGCATTACTTTGTTAAGAACTCCAGCCTTACAGCCCTTTCATCAACAGGCTAAGATGTACCTCTTTGTTCAGGCTTTTGATGAGGTACATTATATGTGCTTTTATAGATGGTGCTGATTTAATGTATTATTTGTTTTGTTCAGATTTTATATTGAATTCATTGTGGTTTTGCTTCTGTGCCCTGTCTTAGGACCTCTGAGTGAAGGGCAGCATCACATGACTTGCTGAAGAGCAAGCTGCTAAAAGTAATGAAGCTGTAGCAGTGTATTTTTCAAGGCATGACACTATGTTTTATTGACGGGGGGAATCAATGCTGCAAAATTACTTCTCACAGAACCATAAAAACTGCTGCTACGGTCTGTAGAAGCCCCATGGGATTGAGATTAATGCAGTAGGACACCTAAGAAACAGCTAGATGCCAGAGGATTTACCACCTCTACTAAAGTCTTTCAATATTCAACAACAACTTGCTTCACTTGTTGCATTCTGCATTTCCCACACTAGCATTCATGCCAAAAGAAAAGCAAAAAGCAAACCTAGGAAGACGTTCATAGCAATGGGCAGTTTACACAGAGTGTGGCTCTGCAGAGTGTGGCTCTGCTCTGAGAAGATGCAAGTGAGCTAAGCTGTGCCCTGTACTCCTGGTCTTCCAACAGTCAGGCTGCTCTCCTGAGTGCTAAAAGCAAAAAACTCTAAACCAGACAAGTATCATATTTATTCAAATGAATACATCATATATTTGCTGCTTTAAGGACCTTGTAAATGTTTTAACATCGCCCCATACAGACTTGAGAGGGAAATTCATGACTCATTCACTGCAAAGTGTATTCGTTGTTCTATCTACAATCTCCCACAACCTTTTCTCCCTTATAGCACTCTGTATCTATTGTTTTCTCATCTATGTTAGTTTTTCTAGTTATTTTCCTCATGTTCTTTCATATTTTTTTCAGAGCTAGATGCCCTTTTCAATATTTCCCCACTGTGTCTTGAACCCATCAAATATTTGCATCCCAGTGTACCTCTTCCCTTCTTTAGAGCTTTCTGCAGTTCATTCCAACGTAACTATCACCTGAGAATGCCATTCTTACTCTGTTTGCTAGCTCCCCTGGGTCAGGTTCACGTCAACATACATGTAGTCACTGGATTTAGTTGTTTACAAAAACAAATGTCAGCCATTTTCACAGAGGGTGAATTTGATATAGATACCAATAGCAGCTCAGCTAGCCTCTGGAGTTCTTAGAACAATTTTGCCAAGTAGCATTTGGGGATACTTTTTAATATACTTTATAGTGTGGATTCAATAAACAAATTCAATTAAAAACTTGCCTGAATCTCATTACTTCTAAGTAATAAACCACACAACTGGTGCTGAGACCAAAACACTAGAAATTTAGGTCATCCTCATACCTCCCATTGTCAAATCTCCTGAACACCAATTCATGCCATTTTCATTTCTTAGTGCTGATTTCAATAAGTGTGTGGATTTTATGCATGGGTCGAACATCTCCAGGCAGACCCATTGTGTAGTACAACTGGAATTCAGTTTGTACTATTAGTTAATCCTGTGAAATAGTCAAGTAACAAGTTTAGTATTGTCAGTTTCCTGTTTATATATTGTGCATTCCCCTGATCATCGTGTGATGTTGCAAAGGATGTGTTTGTGGGCATGTAATGTTGTCAGAAGCAGTGCAAGCCCAGACTCATCTCCTGGTCCTAACATGGAATTTACCCACCCTTCCATTATGGTTAAGCTGACCCAATATAGAGAAGTATTTTGTTGTATTTGCAGTCTGTTTCTATACAGCCAAACTTGGTGCAATCCTGCTACTTCTATAGCTGCAAGCCAAAAATTCTTAGCACTTACAGATATTTGTAATGCAGACCCTAAGAAGATTGTTCATGAAAATGTCTGGGGCACAAAGTTTAGCTTTATGAAAGCAGACAGCTGTCAACTTCTTAAGCCTGAAACATGTGAGGAGCTTTGCACAACTTGCCTCTTTCTGTTTCAAATCTTTTGTATGGATTGTAAAAGTGGCAGTCTAGTTGTCACCTAGAGAACATATATGGGAATACAGAACCTAGCTTGTGGTCTGAAGCTGCCCCAGTAAGTACAGCAGAGCTAGGTCATGGTTGCACAATATCTAATTACTGCATAGTAATTTCCATGTGAATATTTAATTAAAGTTTGCTTGCTTTGGAATGACCAGTTTTTAATAAGTACAGAATTGCACCTTTGTGTACAGTATATGTGTGAGGGGGTGAGGGACAGAGAAATAATTATTCTGCAGAAACTATACAGCAACTCTGTAAGCATGAGAACATTAACCAGTTTTGAGATAAGACTCTGGAACATGAGCCTGCTGTTAATGCTATGACTTTTGTCGTGTATTTTTTTCAATTCTTTATCCCTCGTCAACCATACATAGTAGGTTTGTCCAGAAGAGAGGGGTTTTGCCCGGATCTAGTTAGTGAGGTTCATTGCTGAGCAAGGATTTGAAACTGGCCCAGGACTCCCAAATTTAAGGCCTAATCTGCAACAGGGATAGCCAACATGCTGCTTGCCAGATATTACTGAACTACAGCTCCCATAAGCCTCAGCCAATAGTCAATGATGATGTAAGTTGTAGTCCAGGAATATCTGGAGTGCATTTATAACCCTTATTAACTGACTTGGGATATAGAGTCCCATTGTCAATTTTTTAAATGTTGTCTGCTAAGAGCCCCTTCAGACACCCTTTTATTACACATTCATTAGAATTTGTGCTCTTGACGCTATTGGGGTAGCTCACAGGTGACCTTGGGCTAGTCAGCTCCTCTCAGCCTAACCTACTTCACAGGGTTGCTGTGAGAATAATATTGGGGAGTTTATGCCACCTTGAGCTCCTTGAAGGAAAGGTGTGACATAAATGTAATAGTAAAAAATTAAAATTTAAAAATACTGTTTGTAGCTGCGATAGTTTTGGAGTGGTCACACTGCTTCATTTTCAGCCAGTGCATATTCTGTAACTTCCTACTGAAATCCTGAAACTTTTTAATATTATAAAAGTTCTGGGCTTTTTCCTGCTTTTGGTGTGCTACAGCCCCACTTGCAATAATGTGGTAGCACTGTGGAAGCATCACAAGATAAACTAAAGCAGAATTAATCAACTACTAATGCACTACTATTGTGTCAAGAATATATAGCAGAACACACAAAAAAGCTATCTGGAGGGGTCTGAGTTCAAAAAGCAGTCTTTTCAAGCTTTATAGATGTATATTCATAGATATATTTTCATTGTTAAGATTTTCAAGTTCATGTGTTTGAAGATTTCTAGTGCAATCATGTTTATTTATCAAAAGTATCTGTCTTCCCGTCTTCCTTGCTACCACTTGAACCTGGTGCTAGTCAGTCGTCTACAATTAAGAACATTTTAAAACAATCACATAACCTCACAACTAGTAATTTCAAGGTTGCCAGAAACAGTATATTTCAGCCATCAAATGCTTGAGCAAGCAAGAATGTTTTGATATTGCCCCTGAATATTAATAATGAGGAAGACAGACACACATTGGCAGGGAGTGCATTTCACAAACAATTATTTTAGGTGCTTTGGTCCCAAGTCACTTAGGGCTTTGTTCACTAGTGCTAACAACTTGAATTGGCCCAGTAGCTCCCTGGAAACCAGTGCAGTGCTTTCGGGACCAGTGGCACATGGTCCTACACTAGCTTGCAGCTTCTAGGCCATCTTAAGGGGCAGCTCTATGTAAATCACATTACAGTAGACTAGCTTGGAGGTCACTAGAGCATGGGCAACTGAAGCTAGGCTCTCTCAGTCCAGTAATGGCTGCAACTAGTGAACTATGCTAACCACAAAGGCCACTAGGGACTCCAACGACAGATTGGAATCCAGGAGTACTCAAAGACGACAAATCCTTCTATAACAGCTCATCCATCTAATTACTAGACACAAGAACTGCCCGGCCAAAGCACCTCTGTCTTATAGATTGGCCCCCAGTCCAGCCCATCACTGCTTCCAGGCATCAATCCAGCCTCTCCTGATTAAGAGGGAATGGAGAGATAGCATATTGACATTGTGCTCCAGATCTTTGGATGGAAACTCTGAACAGCTTCTTACAGATGTTGAATAGCACAAGACAAAGAATGTGTTGAAGGAACTGGACATGGAGGGAGGAGTTAATTTCCTTCATGGTCACACATCACCCAATGTATGAGATAAGCCAAAAGATGCAAGGCCTGCCAAGCCAGCTGAGATGGCAGTGGCCCAGTGCCATCTATATAAGTGATTAAGGCATGTCAGCTCTTTAGTCAATGAATTTGTCTGTGAATTGGAGTCTGTAATACATCTTGGAATTGCTGGAGCAATAGAAATACTTTCTACTTGTGTATATAAGTGTGTGTGTGTGCGTGTGTGTGCGCGCGTGTGCGCATATACATATATATATATATATATATATATATATATATGTATGTATCTGTGTTTGCAAAGCCTACAAGCTATATGTATAGATCAGTGTCCGGAACTGTAATACTGAATACCCTGTCCTGTAAGGTAATGGTAAAGGTAAAGGACCCCTGGACAGTTAAGTCCAGTCAAACTTGACTATGGAGTGCGATGCTCATCTTGCTTCAGGCCAAGGGAGCTGGCATTTGTCTGCAGACAGCTTTCTGGGTCATGTGGCCAGCATGACTAAACCGCTTCTGGTGCAACGGAACACCATCACGAGTGCCAGAGCGCATGGAAATGCCATTTACCTTCCCATTGCAGCGGTACCTATTTATTTACTCACGCTGGTGTGCTTTTCAACAGCTAGGTTGGCAAGAGGTGGGACAGAGCAATGGGGGCTCACCCTGTCGTGCACACTTGAACTGCTTACCTTCTGATCGGCAAGCCCAAAAGGCTCAGTGGTTTAGACCACAGTGCAACCTGCTCCCTTTCCTGTAACATGGGCTGGAAGTTCCCCTCTTTTCCCATTTGGTTTGCAATATCAAACTACCAGTGCTGGATAGAAGGGCTGATGACACCGTAGGTTACGGGGAAGTCACATTCATTGCTCTACATTTGTATGCAGCCTTTGTCTCCGCTGCCATCACAATGCATTACCATTGTCCTTAGAAAGAGGTTAGGAAGATTAGATGCAGAAGTTCTGATGGCCAACAGTGTGATGAAAAAAGACAGACAAATTCATAGAACATAGCAATGTCGAGAGTTATTAAACAAGACCAGAGTGCTAGGAGTGGTGCTTTGATTGTTTCAAAAAATGGGAGTGTGTGAAAGAGCATAAAAAGTGCTGCTAAACACTTCCTCTAGCATTTAGATCTACCGACTGGTGAAAATAGTTACTGGATTGGATGGGCCACTGATCTGAATCATTCAGGCTGTGTGCGTACTTAAATCCAGTATATAGATTTTTGAACATTAAGTTTAAAATTGATATGATGTTTTGAAATATATGCACTGCAACCCATTAGCTCAAGTCTTCTTTAGCTCACTTTTATATGAGTAATTGAGAGGTCATCTGCTGCAGCAGCAGGCAATAAACGTTTCTCTGGAACTGTGTTTGCTTCTCATTATTAACATAATCACAGCTGTGTTCTCCAGTGGGTGCGAACTCATAGGGAATAGCAGATAACTTAATAATAACAATAAATCTTTCACTGCTAAATCTAAGGAAAATGAAATGTTAAAGCAGGTCATGCTAAACCTGGCATCCTCCACATGTTGTAAGATTCCCAGAAGCCCCAGCCAGCATAGCTAGTGGTCAGGGGTGATAGGAGTTGTAGTTCAGCAGCATCTGAAAGGCCAAAGGTTGGCATTTCACCAAAACACCCCAGCATCCCTATCTGTTTGACATCTAATGGGAGGGTGTTCCACAGCGGCAGGAGCCACTACTGAGAAGGCCCTCTGCCCGGTTCCCTGTAACTTCACTTCTCGCAGTGAGGGAACCACTGGAGGTGGATCTCAGTGTCCAGGCTGAACAATGGGGGTGGAGACGCTCCTTCAGGTATTCAGGGCTGAGGCTGTTTAGGGCTCTAAAGGTCAGCACCAACACTTTGAATTTGAGAGGGGGAAGCACCACTTGGGGAATTCCAGACAGGCTCCAGTGCAGGGACAGAGCCTCAGGGGGTGCCACTGAAAGATGAAGATCAATGGATGAGCATCTGGTGGGAGGGTCTCAGGAGGTTTTCCCATATGTGTCTCATTCTTTCCAATCTTAAATTCAGATGTGTGGAATTCAAAGAATAGCTGTGTTTCAATTGGCTTACTGTTCTGGAAAGTGTGAATTAGGCAGGTTCACTTTAAAATGCAAACAAAACTGAATCTCCCCCCCCCCACACATCCATGTTGGGCACTGACCTGCACCTTTCACAGGTGCAGACAGGGTGCATAGGTGTAGCTGAACAACACAAGTCCCAATTGAATAGACTTTGAACATGGCATGGAAGGAATTTGTATGTAGGAATGTTCATCTGCATTTTATCCACAATACTATAATTTGGCTGCCAAATATGAACCTGAACTCAAAGTACAGATGCTTAAGAAAACAAAGGCATATTTTCAGGACCAAATTCTCTCAGAGCAAAGCAATTATGAACTACTCTGTCATATTGTTGTGAGCCTCAAGGCAGTTTGGAATGCCAGTAGAACATTACAAAGGTGAACCCGGTTCGAGTGTCCCATTTTGATGACACTTTGCTTCAGAGCCATCATTTTGAAAGGGAACAGCCATGTAATGAAAGCCTATGTTCCTTCTGTAAGGTACTAACAGAGAGGGACCACACAAGCCTGCAGAGCCTATTTGATTATTCTCCCATAATTTTCTGGTGTGATCACCTCAAGTTCTCATTATGAATAATTCACAGCTAAACAGCTTGAGTGTGAAGTGGGGACATTCAGAGCAGACAGAGAAGCTGAGTCATCCCAAGGATATGGTTGTTTATCACATTTTGAACAATGCACTTCAAGAATCATTCTCTTCTTTAGAATAAGACAGTCAATTTTACTGGGGCCTCTACAAAGATGAAATCTGTAAGAACTGCAAGACAATGTTCCTTTTATATAGTGGTGTGTGTATATTGTTGTTGTTTTTTACTTTAGAGAGCCTTACATGTTTAACTTCAAAAAAAAAGAAAGATCTTGCTATCTGTGTTAAGTGCTCTTTTGAATGCCATAATTTGAAGTCTAGAACTTGTACAGTCTAACCAGTTCTGACAACATAGGACTTATTCATTTCAATGTACTTTTTGACGGCATATAATTTGTAAACCAAGCTAGCCATTCTCAAACAAGGGAGGCTGATACTGGCAAAAGGAATTGTGAACTTCACATTCCAGGGTCATAATCTCCTTCTTAGCTGTAATTTTACTCTTCTTTATAACTTGAAGACATAAAAAGATCCATTTTATGGCCGTTCTATAATGTCATCTGCTAATGTAAGGTTAAAAATGGTGACTATAATGTCACAAGATAAAAGTAGACTGGAATTTCTACATAATTGAAGCTGGTCTGATTCTCCTCTCCTAAACGGCATACGAAAATCTAAAAGATATCAGCTGTGGATTTACAACAGTATATGTAGAAGAAGAATAACCAGCCACTTACTGTTTGAATTCCCACATCAGAGGGGTTTCTATAGAACTCTGGATATTGCTATTATGACAAAATTAATGTATCATATGCAAGTTCAGGCAGGACTTGTTACATAAAGAAAAAGTACAAAGAAATGAACAATGTCTGCATTATTCTAGAATGATAAATAACAAGATACATTATGCTAGTACTACTTTCTGGAAATGACCCAGCAGGCAGGAGTGGAATTACCGTAATATAGGGCCTCCAGCTCCCACCCTGAGTTGTTCCAGAAGGATACCATGGTCAATGCTAGCAAAAGCTGCCAAGAGATCAAGGAGGACCTACAGGGTTGCACTCCCCCTGTCTCTCTCCAAATAGAGGTAATCAAACAGGGCAGACAAGGCTGTTTCAGTGCTAAAACCAGACCTGAAACAGGACTGGCATGGATCCA